TCATTAAATTAATTTATTTTTTCTTTCAAATTTAATTATATGCCACTTGTCATCATTTTGCACTTCCAGTTTGGATCTTGAAAGTCAAGTAAATTGATTTTGCTTTTAAGTAGATTCTTCTGCCTTGGGTTCTTGATGCTCGTCTGGTTTTATTGCTCAAAACATTATTTTTTCCGCTGGGACTGACCAAAAAATTGATCTCTTCATCAGTCGTGTGTAGTCTCTTTTATTATGAAATGTGGGTATCATCTAAAATCCAAATTTGAAGCCAGATTTTACGAGTCAGCCTCATTCCTTTAATCTCCCTCACCTTGCCAGCTCTATGTGGACACGGCCAAGCCTCAGTCCTCGTGAAGCATGGCCACCCCTTGCACTTCATTTGGCAGCACATGGGACGTGCCCTGTCTTCTGTGCCTGCTCAAGGACAGCTGGCTGCACCTGGCCCTTTCTGAGACGCTTGTTACAGTATATCTGGGGAGGTTTGGGTGGCGAATGCCTTTATCTGTTCAGAATCTGAAGGAGGATGAATCAAATGGGACCATGAATGGGGGAATAACTTCTGTGCTAGTCTAACGTGCTGCTCCAAGCCCACTACAAGAGTACATTGCTGTTTCCCTCCAAGATGGTAAATGATGAGGGCCACACAGCAGGTTCTGGTTCGCAAAGTGTGTGTTTGGGGGGAGGCAATCTGGAGGATTGCCCCAAGGATTGAAAAAGCTGTGGGACGCTCCATCCAGTCTGCAGATGTGGGTCCCTCATTTGCTTTGGAAGAGACATGTTGCACTTTAGTGGAGGGGGAGACAGGCTTTGGGTATGGGATCTAGTGTACTTGAATTCCTTTTTGAAATAACAGCAGCGGGAGACATTGATGTCCGTGATGCAAGTGTGCACGCTGCCTTCAACTTGTATGTGTTTTATCGCTGGAGTCATGTTACTGACAGGATAATGAAACTGCAAAGAAAATGTGTTATATTCAACTTTGCCTTGATAATATAAACACTTTGTTCATTTTTTCTTCTTTTTTTATTCACAGACTAAGTTCATCAGGAAATTATAAAATTATTTAAAAATTCTGTGCCATGTCTTCATTTCCGTGACTCTCGGTGCATCTTGCTTGGTACCCTCCCTGCACGGCAAGGATCAGTGGGCATGCAGGAGGTCTGGGCAGCTGCGTGGCTGTTCCTCGAGAGCAGGCTTGGGGTCAGATCTGCTCACCCAGATCTGGGGCAACCCTGCTAGGGGGCTTGGCTCCCCCTGCACCTGGCAGTGTGGGTGGGCGTAGAGGGGCTGCTACAAGGTAAATGTGAGCGAGCATCAACGTAGGGGTGTCCCAGATACTCTGGGACCTCATGGGCCAGGTAAGTGGAGATAAAGCAACCATGTTTATGGTGAGCTCTTCCCTTTGTCTCTCGCTTGTTTTCCAAATAAATGTGACTTCAACGTTGCTAATGAGTGACTGAATCCCAGATGTACATCGAGCGTTGAGCCAATTTCAGGATCACGTCGTATGGAGTAATGTGCTTGGAAAGACTTGCTGTGCAAAGGCCAGAAAGGCTGCCTTATGCAGCAGTGTGCTTCACAAGAAACCTGAAGTTGGGTCCTGTCCCCGTGGCACCAGCCACCACTGGAGAGTTGCAGCTTTGTCACCTGAGGTGGCCCGTGCCCCCCTGCAGCACTGGAGGAAACAAATTCAACCCAGTGTCCAGCTTCCAGCTGCATTTTGAGGACACAGGAGATTGCCTGAGTAATGTCACTGTACAATCTCATTTTTCTGGCATTTCTTAACTGTTCTAAAGAGAATAGCATTGCAACACCAGGTCCCAGTGGTAGAACAATGTCCATTTTAAATGCACTCCACCAGATTCTCTGCAGCTATCCCAAAGCCCAGGGAGACAAGACTTCCCCACGTCAGGACACTTTCCAATTAATTTCTCTTTTAAAGTCTCTCCGTTCCTTCCCCCTTTTGTCTATCCGTGCAGCAGAATGTTTGCTGAGATTTTCTGCTGGCCTTGTCCCTTCTGCTCGCACTAGATTTATCATTTTAAGGGGCTCTTAAGGTCCCAGCTTGCTCCTTCCATCGGAGTGACCTCGCACGTGACAGGAAAAGGCGCCCTGGTCCCAGCGCCCGCAGGGTCCCTTCCCGCCACTAATTGGATCTCAATCACTTGGTCTTCAATCAAACGCCCAAAGCTGCGTGTGGAAAAAGGATACACGGGGATTAAGGGTCTCAGGAGCTTTGAAAGGAAGAGTCCATCGGCCTTTCGGTGCCTAGTCTGCTTAATGTTCACTTAAGTGTCTGGCTGGGAAGGGGGTTCGCGATTCCAGTCAGGCCAGGGTGTGCCTGGCTTTCGCAGCAGAGCCCAGATCAGCTGAACGAAACCACATGCCACATAAATTTAACCGATTGCTGTACGGTGGGAGAGCTGGCAAGCCTGCAAGCGCTCCTGGTGCCGTTTCTGAGGGGCTCATCCCCTCTAGCAGGACAAGGGAAAGGTGAGGGTGGTGCCGCCAGCAGCAGAGAGCAGGCCCGAGGCAGGACGCGCAGGGCCCGGGCTGCTCCGTGGGCTGCAGCACCACATCCCCACAGGCTGACTCATATCTTGGATGGCCCGTAACAATAACATTGTTCACGCTACAAAGCGAAGATGCCAAATCCCTTTTGTGCGTTATCAGGTTACATTTCATGTATTCTGCAGTAAAACGCAACGAGGCATCTGAATAAAATTGTCCGTGTTGACTGCTGTCACTGTGACAAAAAACAGGCAAGGCTGCAGTGAAGACGGAAAATGGTCGGCCCTGTGATCAAACACACACCAGTGTGCAATGTTTTCCTCTCTTGCTTGGTGGGCACTGCAAAGGTGGGTTACGGGGAAGGAAGGGCTCCCCTCCTCGCTGACCAGCCTCTCGTATCCCCACCCATGCATCTTCCTGGCGAGTGTGACACTTGCCCCGTCTCATTTCTAAATCACACCGGTCAGGGAAACAGCTGAAGCCACAGCAGCAAGCAGCAGGGAAGAGCAATGTATTTAGGATCTCCTGTTTTCCTATTTCCAGCGGGGTCAGCTGCAGTTGTGCTGTGTAGATGCTTTTTGCTGCTGCAGATTGATGCTGTAGGGACGCATCAGCCGGACTGCGCGTGTACAGGATTACCCAAAACAGTAATTGCAAACTAATTGCCTGTGCTAATGAGGTGATCTGCATATGGCAAGTGACCTTTAGAGCAGGGTTTTGAGATATCAAGTAGCTGCTCTTTTCACTGGGCTTCAGGGTGTTTGGAAATCATGGGCAAATGGCCAAAATCCTCCTGCAACTGTCTCTAAAGGCCTGAAGAAAGGGAGCATGCTCCAGAAAAACAGATACATTGTAGCTGCATATAATAAAAATAATTGTGAACAACAACAGTTCCTTGTCAAGCAAGCAGAGCCAAATACCTTCTGTTGGTAGACTCCGTTCCGGAATGTTCTGCTGATCTGTCATGTCCGTGTGGGCCAGCCAGGACCAGCAAGGGTGTAGCAGTAGGGTTATAGCAAGTGATTCTGTGGGTGTGGGCCTTAAATCCATGTGTTTTTAAATCCCTGACCAGCCACATTTACCAAAGGGTTACAATTGCAAACATTGGGACTGTTCTGGATGAGTCACCCAGAAGTTAAATATTTAGGCCCAGGATCCGCAGCCCCTTTGCGTGTTGCTCTCTTCATGGGAATTCAGCTCCTGGAACATCTACGAACGCAAACCTTGTGACAAGGCGAGTTAAGTCACTCGGTTTCTTTCTGCGTTGGGAAAAAGGAAGGGTTGCTGCCCTAGCCCAGAGCCCCTCCTAAAAGGATTTTTGTTCAGCTTGAGTAAACCCTTCATTTTCTGTAACGGCGCACCATTTGGAGAACCACAAGTCTTGGAATGTATATGAACGCACTTAAACTCAGTTATATAACACATAGAAACTGTTTTTAGCTTTAAACAGCGTGTCATCTGTAGCTCAGTGCATTGACGTGCATGTGTGCATGTATCTCTGCATATCTGTCTACATCTGTGTGATAGTATATAAACGGATATATATACAGCTGCATACAGAAAAACGTGTTCAGAACGCTAAGCTTGCAATGCCAAAGGTCTGGAAATTAAAATGTATACATGACTCCATGCCTGATGGGTCCATGATGCAATTTTCAGTGATGTATTTACACAAGTGTTTTCTTGCTGAACCTTTCCTTCATTAAGTGTGCAGGATGCACTGACTTCTTCAATTCAGTAATCACATAAGCCCTAGCATTGCTGTCATCTGTGCTTTTTCCAAGGCCACCGGTTCTGCATTGCAAGCCTCTCACTGCTTTGATTCGGTAAATTGTCCCTCACATCAGTGACCTCCCAGACACCAAGTAGGCTGTTCCTATAACGAAGGAATTGCCTCAGAGCCCTTCCACACTTTTCAGGAGACATGAACTCAATCTGCTCTGACTTGACTCTAAAATGAACCAGATCCTGACATTTGGGAAGACCCAGACTTCAAATTCCACAGCTCACAAGTGCCTGGAACAGGGGATTTACTCTGGCACAGCTAGCATATATATATCATCCAGATCCAGAGCTAAATTTGGGAACATCTCTTCTCTCTGTGCTTGTGTTCCTTTGTTCAGGCCAATGAGAAAAATCTTTTTATTTGGGAGATATGTGTATCAAGTACTTATTTGGGTGTTTGTCTCAGCTTAGTTTTGCAGGTATAAAAATGCAATCTAATTCCCTTCAGCCATACCCCTGGATGTACCCAAGCCTTCACTGTGTTTCAGTGAAAGTTTCATCTCTTCCTCTTGGCAGAGGTGTCCAACCCCTCTCCACCAAACACCTAGCAGGGATGTGCAAGGCTGCAAAGCCCTCCACAACTCAGCAGTGCTTGTGAGCAGCCCTGATCCTGCCTCCACACATGGGCACCTCCACACCTGGTGGGTCTTTGAGAGTGAATTGCCTCCACCTGTTCCCAATGGGTCTGGCAACTGAAATCCTCCTCTAGCAGCTCAGCTGTTTGAGTCTTTTAAGGGAGGTGAAGGCTTAGAGGGAGAGTTGGCTTGATGTTAGTGTGGTGGTAGTGATGTGCTTTTTCTGTTTTTCCTTGCTGGCTCCAAAATCCATTGTCTTTCTCAGCCAGGCTATTCCAGGTTACTCCATCCTCCTACAGAGTCTTGCATAATACATATGAGGCTCTGCCTACTGGAGTGACCACTGTCCCACAGAGGGGGCAAACTTTTGCATCTGCTTCTACACTGCTGTTGGTAGGAGCAGTGGTATGCTCTGTCAGGTGTTTAATGACTTGAAGGACATGTGAAATGCACACATGTGTGACTTAAAGACTGAGTGTGGAGTGCAGAAGGAGGTAAGTGATTTCAGCATCTTAATTTTTGGTCCTTGTTTGACTTCAGTCTGCAGTTCTTGCTGCTGTGGTTTAGATTAATTTACCGTTAATAATTTCTATTGGTATTTTGGTGGTGATAATCATTAAAGTTGGAGCAAGCAAAGTGTGGCTACCAAGGTTCCCTTGATTTATTGCCATGTTGAAATCAGGAGTACATTGTGCTGATACTCTGGGCTGCTGTAAAGTAGCACACTTCAGCTTTGGGGTTGTTTTCTCAGCCCGAGCAGTAGCTGCATGAGGCTGTTTTCGCTGGGGCTCAGCAGCACCCATCCGTGGCACCCACTGGAGCCAAGGGACACTTGGCTGTTCACAGGGAAGGTGCTTTGTGCATTGCTTACTGCGGATAAGATCAAATGTGAAAGCACAATAAAACTGTCACTCCACCTGGAGCAGGCAGCCTGCAACCTGAGCGTTATCAGCACTTGCTTGATATTTAATAGTAAACGCTCCAAGATGCTTCCAGCTGCAGCAGAAAACACCACAATTTTTACCAGACTGTGAAAATCATTTCTCTTCTCCTGTTAGGAAACATAGCTTTGTGTTGGGTTATTGTGGGTGGGGATGGATGCAAAGCCTTGGCAAGAGAGTGCAGTTTGTGGCTGGTTTTGCCTGTCCTGGGCAGAGCACACCTGGAGAAGACTGGCTTTGTTAAAGGTCAGTACTCAGTAGAGGACAGGGTCTTTACTGAAAATGGGAGTGAGATTGCTTGGCCCTCCTTTAGCTTCTTCTTTTGTGTTGTTGTTAAGTGAGGTGGTTTTTCTTGGCTTTGTTTTCTTAAACACTTTGCTACCACCTCAGCTACATTATGCTACAGAGATATTAATGGGCTTGGCTCTGTTCCCAAGATGTCCTATTTACTGTGCTTGGCGTGACCGGCGAGTACTGGTGTTTTTGCAGAGTCTCAGGGCTCCCAGAGATGTAAAGTGACCCGGGATAAGCGGGAAGTCATGCTGTTACCTTGATTCGCTGCATACGAGTAGGTCCTACAACAGAGGATTGTATGGACAAACAAGAATCTCCACTGAGAATGATATATGACCGTGGCAAGGTCTTCCTGCTACTCAGCAAGCGAGGAGAGGACAATGGTAGCTGGCAGCTACTGTTCAGGCTGACGTACTTGCCTTAGATTAGCACTGGGGTAAGAGCATGCATTCTGCCAATTGCTACAGCTCAGCTAACTTGCAGCAGTTTGTGAAGGGGCAGTAACTCAATCACTTGCATTGTCTGCTCGGATGACAGGCTAGCAAAATGCTCTAAGGCGGTGGCTTCCAACTCTTCAGTACTGTCAGCTTTTGGTGTGTCTCAGAAAACAACATTTTTTTTTTTTTATCTTAAGTTTAACAGTTTTGAATTTTAAAGTGGAGGGGTTTGCTGGTTACTTCTGAAGTTATCGGATGGGCATGACAGATGGAGGAGCTGCTGCCCCGGAGCAAATGGTGCTGCTGGTGGCTGAAGTGAAAACAGGAACCAAACTGCTCAGTCCTCTCTGGTTTCTGCAAACTCTTTTGTGAGCTTTTCCAGTTACATAGTGCTGTAAGGCCCCTGTTTTTTCCAGTGATTTTAGAGATGCGAGGAGAGGCAGAGGAGTGTCGTGGCAGGACAAAGTGTTTTGCCACAAAGCCTATGTCAGATGTGGAGCTCCTGGTGCCACATCAGCCCCTGCAACCTTCCCCGGCCTGCGAGTGACCCAAGTGGGGCGTAATGACTTCAAGGTGGCAGTGAAAGGCTGATCCGCGCCCTTCTGGTTGGAGGCTTTAATTTGATCCCATTGTGCATGAAGTGATGACTCCTGAAAACAACAGCGGCGGCACAATTATTTATGTTCATCTGTCAGAAGAGCAGATCAAAGCGATCTATAGAGCTGCAGACAAATATCACCACGGATGACCCAGAGGCTCCCTTTGTGTGAGGTGACAGACTGGAGTGTGACTTCATTGGGAAATCAGTCTTAGACTCACACAGCAAAGTCACCCCAGCTAATGCTGACCCAGAGCTTTTCTTTGCACTCGCTCACAGCTGAGTAGCGACAGGGGTTAGAGACGATGACGCCAACTTTCCCTGTTTTTGTTTTTCGGGGAAGAGACCTTGTTCAGCACAACAATATCGCTTGTGCTCATCATTACGTGTGCAATCTTAAGATGATATCTCGGCAAGTTCAGACGCGATGGAGACCTTTTGAGCTGCGTGGCTGCGGGGTGTGTTGCAGCCTGGCACTGTGCAGCGAGGCTGTAAGGGATCATCTGGGAACCTCTGACCGTGCGAAGAGTCAGGGGAGCAGCAATTGCTTCATGCCCTGCTCAGAGCCACCAGATTCCTGCCTCTCAGGTCTCTCAAAGCACATCCTCACTGAAGTGCTGATACCATTAACTGCTGGCATCGCCTCAGCAAGGAAGAGCCAAGGGAATTGAAGGTGATAGAGGTCAAATCAGCAAAAGAAGAATTTGAAGACCACTTTCCCCTCTTTGTCTTTGCTAGGGTTCTGTCCACACATACCTTTTCACTGCCTGACTTGCAGATGGTGACTGATGCTTGGAGTATCTCTTTCATGTGCTTGGAAAGGTTCCTACAACTCTGGCAATGAGTGATGCAGTCAGCCCTACAGCCCAATTTTATAGATTAATTAAATATCAACAGAGATAGATCTGGGCCCTCTGCACCACCCAAAAGCCCATTCATTCCCTATAGGGCTTTGTGCACAGGTTATTCATGCTTCTATAGAATAGATGATACACCAGCCACAACTTGGAAGTGTTGAACGTGATGTGATGATCTTTCATGATGCTTGTCTCTTCAAAACACAGCCCCAGTGTCCTGCAAGGGAAAGAAGGTCCCCAACTGCATGTACCAAAAATAAAGAAAAATTCCGGCTCTCATTGCTGGAGAAAGGCGAAGAAAAATGGAGCTTCAGTGAACTTGAAAGCCTCAAACAAGAATCAAATCCACCAAACAAAAAGCCTCCCAAGTGAAAACAAGATTCGGTGCATGTGAGCTAGCATCATGTTTTGGGGCATGAATCACAAGGTTTTCTTTTTTTTCCTCTTTGGCAGGTGTATATAATTACAGTCCCAGGATCTGTTGAAGTATTTAGTGATTTTGGCTCAACTTCAGATGCCGTGGCTGGTGTTAGCCAGTAGGTGTTCTGTGCATCCTGGAAGATCAGTGCCTCGAGCTGCAAATTCATTCATGACTTTCTTAAGGAAGTTGACCAGAGAAAAGAGGAAACACAAAAACAATTTAACTTAAACTACATGGGACAACTCTGGCTTTAATTTTACCCTTACAGGGATAAATGACTGCAATCTAAGCTGGAACTTGTTTTAAGTCTTTAGCTCGTTGCATGCACAAATATACGCTGTGGGCACAATTTTCCTGACTGAGCCCTTGAAATGTGCAGGGGGAGCACCAGTATCTGTGTGCAACCCTTTTGTCTAGTGCCTGGGCCCTTAGACACAGTCAACACCACATCTGAGTGCCTATGAAGAGAACCATCTTCTGCCACGTGGTTTCTTCTCCTCGTGTCTTGTGGCTGCACTGGTGCTTCAGTTGTCATAGCACACAAAATAGGCAGACGAGGAAACTTTAATGCTGATGTTTGTGTAAGCCCAATATTACCACTGCTATGCATACTTGTTTAAAAACCACTGTGTCTAAGAATTGTTTTTATGTTCCCCTTGGGCTGAGCTGTGAAGGTGAGGCTATTAACCAAAGGCATTTGTCATCAAAGGGCACTCTGGAGCCAACACAACGCAATGATTTTCACACAAAGGCTTGATTGTCATTTGTTTGGTTTGCAGGCAGCCAAACCAGCAGCTACGGAGATCACCCCAAGCCTTGCTTACGCTCTTCAGCTCATCTCAGGGCTTTGTGGGACCCAGAAATAAAAGCAGGCAGCGTGCTGTGGTTTTGCTGGCTCTAAATAGCGCTTGTCCTGGGGCTGTGTGAGCTCTACCCAGGGGCAGTTGTGTGCCCAGCAGACGAGCATCACGTCCCTCCTGGCCACCCCCTGCATCGCCACCCTGTGCCACCCTCCCCATCTGCACGGTGACACATCCTGCCCACCCAGCACTGCCCAGTTCCCAAACACCCCGGTGGCACCAGTCACACCCTCCTGGTTTGATGCCATCAGCACATTCCCGGCTGCCTGCCCAGCCAGGATGCCTGCCCCAAAAGGCAGCTTGCATCACCCTGTGCCAGCAGTGGCGTGGAGAGGCTCTCAGCAGGGTGAAGGGGAGGATGAGGATGCCCACCGACCTTGTACACACACAGCTGAAGCAACGGGGAGGTCCCTGGGGAAAGGAAACCTCCATGGGGCATCAGACCTAGGGATAGGGCTGGGTACAGCTGCTGTGGGCTGTGACACGGGGCCTGGGGCCTAGGCAGGGAGAAGGGGCTGCCCTGTTAGCCCCAACCTCTGCCACTACCCACTGATGTGAGCCCCTCCGCTGTCTCTGATGGAGCCCTGGTGGCCTTTCCCCCAAACCAACAGCGAATGCTCAGCTGTTTGGGGACATCTTGCCAGGTTCATGGGACATCAGCATCATGGCACTGATCTGGATGGAGAGCTTGATGGAGTGGCTGCTCCCTGGGGTTGGTCCTGTTGTGGCAAGGCAGTGCTTGCTCCCCCTGCATGCCCCGGTCTGTACACACGTGTGCACACCCAGGTGCATGGACACGTGTGTACGTGCACACACATGCACTGCTGCCCCTGCTGAAGCCATTGGCGCGGTTGCTGTCCCAGAGCAGGTTTAATTATGCTGCGGAGCTCGTTACCACAGGAAGCAGCCGAGGCCAAGAATTAAGTAAGACTTGAGGAAGGGATTGGCCATTCGGACAGACAACAAGAATATCCAGAGTTGTCATAATTCATGCCGATAAAAATTTTGGAAAGGATGCACAACTCCTCACCTCGGGGTCTAAGCCAAGCAGAAGAGGCCGAGAGGCTTGGTCCGAGAGGAGGGGGCCGGGGGCAGATTACCTCACCGTCTGGCTATGGCCGTGGCCGTGGCCTCACGCCTCCGCTAACCACATAGCCCCGGACCCCCAGCATGGGCTCGGTGCCCCGTGCTGGCCCTGGGGACACCTGCCAGCCCCTGTGTGCCATCCCTGCCTGAGCCAGCAGGCCCGGTGTGGGGAGCTGGAGCCCGCGGTCAGGCGAGCCAGGGCTCCTGGCCGGGGGCTGCTGAGGGGGGCAGTTACTCTTTAACCCGCCGAGCCCACGGAACCCGCTGTGGGGAGCGCCTGTCTAATGATTAAAGCGCTAAACGAGGAGGCATGAACTCTGCGTGCTCCCCCCGGCCTTGCTGCCGGGTTACGTGGAGCCAGGCAAGTCAGGCCTGCGCCGCAGCCGCCGGGTCCGGCTGGTTACGACCGCATCCTTTAAATCCTGGTGTTTGGCAGAGGGTGTCTCACTGTTTGATTTCTAGGTATTTAAGACCTAATAAACGTCTCCGTTCGCCCTTTCGTCCAGGGATCAGGGGAAGAAGAGAAAGGAGCCAAAAGGAGAAGGGCTGCAGCTGGAGGAGGGAGCGCTGATGCCCTGGCTTCTCCTCCAGCCTGTGGAGCTCAGCGTTGAGAAGCGCAGCTCCGGGTGCTCAGACCTCTTGTGGACACCTGAGGAGCTCCCCGGGACCCCACCATCACACCGCCAAGGTGAGGAAAGGCAAATGTGCATCAAGCAGTTGCTGCGTTACCCTTTGTGCCCTGTGCTGGTGGAGGGGAAGAGCAGGCTGAGCGTCCACCTCCGAAGGCAGCAGCTGCTGTCCGTCCTGCAGAGCCCCCGTTCGGCTCCCACCTCTTCTCAGCCGCGTGTCCCTGAGTCCAGGATGGATTTTACTTGGTGATGTCAGGCCAGATGAATCCCGGTTTAATTGACCGTGGGTGAAATCGTGCTTTGATGGTTAATGTTATACTCGAGGCTGGGAAAACTACTGCAGGATCATAGCAATTAGAGCTGGAAATGATTCAAGTCATCTAATTTATTTCCTCTCTCCCCCCTCATTGTCTCTCCTGGGGATGGGGGCAGTAACGTTCCCAACAATGTGTCCCCCCCATGCCTTGTCCGGTCCTGTCTCACTGACTCAAGGAGCCTCCGGAGCATCCACGTGTCCCCAGGGGGACGACTCCACAGCTTGAAAGACGTCAACGTGAGGAAATGTTTCAGAAGTTTAGCCTATATTTCCTTTTGTGGAGCGCCACAAATTCTCAGGTCATGAGCTTTATGCCTTCGGGAAACTGGCTGCTTCCCATGAGGGCAGTGGCTGGGAATAAGGTGGTGGTTTTCTTTGGGGTTTGCAGGGGCAGGTAGAGAACATGGGGTGGGTCAATGAAGGTTTTCACACCTGCGAGGCAGGTCAGATCAGGTAACTCATCTGGAATAAGCCCTCCTTTGGCAGGAGCTGGAGATACTTTTTTTTTTTTTTTTTTTTTTTTCCGTTTCCAGATTTTTATTCCATGAATTCCACCTTGACTCATAAAAATCTCACTGTGGGAAACTTGTTCAGCTCCTCTGAACAAATTCACCTCCTTTGACTTGTTCCTACTGCTTCCACTGATGCTGCCACAGGAGAGTGGGGTGAATGTTAATTAAAGGGCAGGAAGTGTCCAGTCCATCCCGATGAAAGAAGCGTGGCAAGGAGAAGCAGATACTCCTTGAAAGGTGTCACAGGACGGGTATCAGCTCGGTCTCCACTGCTTACCAACAGCAGAGGTCAGCCAGGTGAGACACGACACCCACTGCTGTAGGAGAGGATAAAGGGTGACCTGAGGGTGACCGGAGCCGTAGTGGTGCTTGCGGTGTCCAAGGAGCTGCGTGGGTTAAGGTACTTTTCGCAAGCACTCGGATGTGAGAGCTTCCCTGGGCGTGCTGTGACACCGTCTCCCACCAATATTAGTCACATCTGAGGCTCTGGTCGTAAAGTCCAAACCGCAACCAGCTCCAGTTGTGGACACGGCTCATTATTAAATCAGTGAGGCTTAATCATATCAGGACATCTTGCAGAGAACATCTGGACGACATCTCCAGCACCGGAGGCTAGACAGGGGCCCCTCCTACCGGCAGCTATTGCCCCCGGTACCTCGCGAGGATCAGATCTGGCCAGGAACAAGTGCCTCTTTCCTCTTCCATCCTCCTAGGATAAACTACGATAAGATATTCAAGGCCTGGTGTTTTGCTGGAGGATAACGCAGACTTTTGGGGAAAAACAGATGAAAAGTAGACAACTAACTGCTCTCCTGGAAATAAAATTAGCAGAGTGATTTCAGCAGAAAGGACAGCATGAGGCAAAGCAGTAAGTGGCCTGCTGTCCTCACCCAGCCCCACGGGGAGCTGTGACCAACTCATCCATGATTTTTGCCCTGAGCCCTGGCAGGGAGGGGTACCAGGTGCCCTCCCTTGTGAGCACCCCCAGATGTGCCACACACCTCGTTACTGCTGGCTGGGGACCTCTTTCCTCTCTTCCAGCCCTTCACGTGGCCAGCCAGGGGCCTGCTCCCACCCAGTTTTTGAGGTGCACGCCCCCAGCTGTCCCTCCTGCCCTTCCTGGCACCCAGCACTGCCACATGCCTACGTGCCTTCCTGCTCTTCTTGTCCCACCAAAGCAGCTGTGGAGATGGTGAGGAAGGAGTAAAACTGCGAGAAGTCCCATCCTCCTCATGGACTGCACTGAAGCCAGCACGATCTTGCAATAAGCCAAGATCTTTCTGAAAAACCCACGTAGCTCCTAGCTGCAGGTTTCAAGGAGCACATCTATCCAGTCCTGGCTGTCTGCCTCTGCCGCTGGTCCTGCAGCAGCTCTGCCTTCCTCCTCTGCCACCTGTAACCCTGAGGCATCTCAGGGTGTGAAGCAGTGCCAGCCCCGGGATTCCTGTGACAGAAGGCGCCAGTGAGGATCTCAGGCCTGCTAACCCGCTGTGGCCAGCTGTCCCTTGTAATGCTAAAACTGCAAAAGCACATCACTCAACAGTGTCACCAAGCCCCGGGTCATGATGCTCCCCCTCGCACCTCCAGGTGCCCAAAAGAGGCCCCTGGTGTTTGCTGGTTCCCCTCAGGAGCACCCTGCACCTGCTCTGCAAAGCCTGGACGTGCAGGCTAAAAGCTTGGCAGACAAGCATCACAAAGCAGCTTTACCACAGAGGGAGAAAAGCTGGCACCTAAAATTTCCTGCAGCCAGCTGCAATTTCGGGACAGCATTTCCCCTCTAATTAGTTGGTATTTGCTCTACCAACTATTATCTTCCTGGTTACGTCGTGCTGGGGACAATGGTTCCTTATTTCCTACCACAAACACCAGGTTGCTATTTACCTCCAGCTGTACCTCCTCTCTCCCCTGCTCACATTAAAGGGAAGCATCACTAATGACTACCGTGATGGGAAACACTGCAATAGCAGGTTGTAAATTAAGACACCGAGAGCCTTCAATTAGCCGCACCGTGCATCCTGGAGTCAAACCCTCACCTGCTCCTCTAAACACGCTCACGCAGTGTTTCCACTCCGGACACCAAGGGATGCTCAGAGCTGGCTGCAAGGAGATGCTCGCGTATGGGTACGTGCTGTCGAGCTGTGCCGGCTGGGGCAGCCTGGCCCAAATTAGAGGAGCTCCAGCGGGCCAGCTGCCTCCCAGATGTACCCCCGACACCCACCCAGCCCTCCGGACGCCCGCGGGGGGAGCAGCGAGGCGGGGGCTGGCAGCTCCTCGCACTGTGCGCCAGGCTCCGCAGCCCCAGACCTCGGCTTGCTGCGGGGACCAGAGGTGGGGACCCCAACGCAACAAGTGCAACTCGTGGCTTTGCTCACGGCTGCGGAGCTGCCACCCAGCTCGTGTAATCCCTGCCCCTGTGTGTGTGTGTGTGTGTGTGTGTGTGCTGCTCCCCAGGCCGTCCCGAGGGCTGGGCACCGCTCTCCCCCACCAGTGCCAGCGCGCACCCATCCTGCCCGTGCCCCCGCGGCTTCTCCCCGCTGCTTTCCGCCAGGAGCAGCGGGGGCAGGAGCCGGCTGTGAACCCACCGAGGTTTTACGGGCTGAGGGGGAGGCAGAGCCCGCTGGTGCGACCCGCTGGTGGGGAGCCAGCCCCACCGGGACCCCCGAAATCCGCCTCCAGCCCCTCTCCACCCGCACCGACCCTCGGGGAACCACCAGCAGCAGCAGCAGCGGGCCCCCTCCCCTCGTCCCCTCGCATTTTGGCGACCCCCTCCCTCCAGTCAGCCCCCCCGGGAGCCCCCCGACGGCAGCAGCCCCCTGGGCCGGCCCCGGCGAGCCCCCTCCCGGCGGCGGGGCGGGCGCAGGGCGCGGGGGGCGGGCGCGGGGCGGGGGGAGGCGGAGCGGAGGCGGCCGGAGCCCCCGGGATCCGCCGGCACCTCCCGGGCCCGGCACTCGCCGCCGCCGCCAACTTCGGCCGGGAGGCGCCCTCGGAGCCGCGGCAGCCCAGCGCCGGGAGCCTGCCCTTCCCCAAAACACCTCCAGCTCCCGCTCGCCTTCCTGCCTGCCTGCCTGCCTTCCCCGCTCCCCTCCCGCAGCCGCCGGCGGGGGGCTCAGCGCGGCGCGGGGCCGCGGCCCCCGGGGCAGGTGCGTCCCCTCGCGGTGTCCGGGGGGCTCCCAGCCCCGTGCCCACCTGCCGCCGCCGCCCGGGGACATGCAGGTAGGGAAGGGGCGGCCCCGGCAGGCTCGGGGCGGCGGGGGGCTCCGAGGGGGGCCCGGCACGGTGGTCCCCGAGCCCCCCGCCGCGGGGGCGCAGCGCACGGAGAAGGGGACGGGGCCGTCGGGGGGCGCCGAGGGGAGAGTGGGGAGCGGGTCGGGGACGTCGGCGGGGCTCCGGGAGCCCCTGGGCTCGGCTTGGAGGGTCGGGGGAAGGTGCCCCCGGGGCTCGGCGGGGTTGCCGTGGTGGGACGGGGGCGGTGCGGCGGGGGGGAGAGCTCCGGGC